AGGCATGTCAGAAGACATCTCTATGAACTGACGGGCGCAGCTCAAAGGTTTATAAAGCAACCTCTAGACCCGTCAGCTTACCGACAAGCCCTCAGCGGCATTCGTAAGGAGTCAGTCTCAGGTTATGTAGACTCCAGACCTGCGAATGCCGTTCTAGGCACACAACCACCTGACANTACAAAGCCGCAACAAGGTCCTCCAGTCGCTAGCCGGCAGTACTTGGGGCAAAGACAAAGAAACGTTGCTGGTAACAGACACTTGCTTGCAGAGGAGCTCGGGCCAAGGCATGTCAGAAGACATCTCTGACGGGCGCAGCTCAAAGGTTTATAAAGCAACCTCTAGACCCGTCAGCTTACCGACAAGCCCTCAGCGGCATTCGTAAGGAGTCAGTCTCAGGTTATGTAGACTCCAGACCTGCGAATGCCGTTCTAGGCACACAACCACCTGACATCGACGAGACAGAGCTCTGTCTACCTCGGGAGACTATAACCCCAATAGCCCAACTTCGCTCTGGATAATGCAGCAGGTTAAACTCATACCTGATCAGATTAAATGCAGATGTGCCAAATGAGTGTACGGCATGCGGAGAGACACGACTCGAAACATCTCTTCGTATACCCGGAAAACCGAAAACCCCGCCTTTGTCTCTGTGGACTAGCCCTATAGAGGCTGCACGCTTCTTAGGACTTCCGTTTGCTGAGCTTGACGACAACGACTGACATACCAACCGATCTGGGCGGGGTTGTTGTAGCCGCTACAACAGCAACAACAACCGATAAGGCGGCTCTAGGAGTATCCGAGAGAAAGATTTTGCGGAAGATNGCCCGGAAAACCGAAAACCCCGCCTTAGTCTCTGTGGACTAGCCCTATAGAGGCTGCACGCTTCTTAGGACTTCCGTTTGCTGAGCTTGACGACAACGACTGAGATACCAACCGATCTGGGCGGGGTTGTTGTAGCCGCTACAACAGCAACAACAACCGATAAGGCGGCTCTAGGAGTATCCGAGAGAAAGATTTTGCGGAAGATTTACGGGTCTTTACGCATTGGCGACGGCGAGTACCACAGACGATGGAACGATGAGCTGTATGAGCATTACAACGACATGAACATAGTGCAGCGAATAAAAATACAGCGGCTCCGCTGGTTTGGCCATGTCGTTCGAATGGACTCCGTCGCTCCAGCTCTGAAAGCATTCAACTCGGAACCAGCTGATGGTAGCAGAGGAATAGGGAGGCCAACATGCGACGTAAAGACCAGGTGGAGGACTTGGCTTCGCTTGGCATTTCCATTTGGCTTCAATTGGCACAGAAGAGAAACGATTGGCGTGCTTTGTTGAACTCGGCCAAAATCGCTTAAGCGGTTACAGAATCAAATAAAAAGAAGATGATGATGAAATTAAGGGATCTGAGCTCAAAAGCAAAGCGTTAAATGTATCCCCCATAGCTTTTCCGCGAGAGATTTTTCGTGCTATTGTACTATCAGCTTAATCTTATTACATAGGTATCTTTTTAGTGTTGAGACTTTTTTCTTGTGTCGTTTTCACTTAGCCACACATTACATAGTTCCCTTTTTAGTATAGCTACTACATACATACATACTACAAAAAAATAAAAAATTTTACATACTACAAAAAAATAAAAATTTTACTTAAAGTGGTGCTTGGCGGTAGCTAAACTTTCATGAATTTTTTAATGCATGAACTTCTCTAAAGAACGCATATAAAAATTTTAGGTTACTCCGGGGTACTATTTTCCAAAACTCTAAATCAAAAGAAAACACAAAAAAATTGTTCCCACGACAGTCGGGTCTACGTAACCGGAACGACCCAGATTAATATCTGGCCAAGGACTGTCACTCCAGCAACACTCCCCAAAAAGTCTTTGGGGAATTTGTATGCTGCTACATCAACAACAAAAAAATTGTACAAACAAAAACTACAGCACTTCAACAAGTATTTACACAAGACGAAAATAATCTTTAGTCACGAAATGGTGTATGTATGTAGTTTTATTTTTGCTCGACATAATTTTCTTAATTTTAAGAGCAAAAATTGTCCATCACTAAACACTAACAAAAGGCAGAATGGGAGGATAAAATAAACCGTAAAATAGTTAATTTTCTCAATATTCAATTTTTCGACAGGAAACGTGGTTTTATTGTGAGAAATTGCAAAATATATGATTTATAAAAAGATTTAATAGCGAAAATGTAAAAAAACGTCGATTGTTGTGAAAGTATTAGCAAATTTCAGTGCATCTAAAGTTTCTAAAGCGTTGTTTACTTTTACTTGAGAATTGTCAAAATCGGCTAATCCCAAGTAGCGGTTTCTGGAACGTGCCGCATTTGTTCGCTACATCGTGATGTGATAAAACGAAAACCTGGCAACACTCCGCAAGGTTACAGAAATCTTTCAAAATGTGTTCGAAAAATATCTAGATATGGAAGGAGCTGCTTGCCAAAGAAAAAAAATGTCAAAACTCATTGCAATTTTTAGCAACTTCAATCATGCACTTTATTACATTAATTTTTTTTTGTTTAGATTCTAATTAAAATGTTTGCAATTTGAGTGAAACCTTGCAGAATTTTTTTAATTTTTGTACAAAGTTTGATCCACAACCGGAGGTCTACCACATTTTTTTGAAATCAACCACATTTTTTTCCAGATTCTACCACACTATTTTTTTAAGCCCGATCATTGGAGTATTTTCACCACTGTTCGGCGTCGCGGGGGGAACTTGCGACTGGGNCACTATTTTTTTTAAGCCCGATCATTGGCTAGATGGAGTATTTTCACCACTGTTCGGCGTCGCGGGGGGAACTTGCGACTGGGCAGCGCACCAGGGGCCCACGAAGTAACTCATCCAATCACGCGTGTTGCGGAGTCCGGAGCGTGGCACCAGCCAAGGTAGTAGTTGCACTAGGCTGATGTCACGTTACGGTATATTCCGGACTGACAAACCGAGCAGATTGTCGGAGGGAGTAGAAGTTGCCGGCGGCGGTGTGTGCGTGCTGTAGTGTTCGTTGGTGTGTCTATTGTTGTGTTATGTTGGGTTGTGGGTGTGTTGGTGTTGTCCGGCTCGGGCGGTTTGCCGTGGAGGAGGTCCGATTCGCACAATATCAGCCACGAACGACGTGGTCNTACTAACAAAAGGCAGAATGGGAGGATAAAATAAACCGTAAAATAGTTAATTTTCTCAATATTCAATTTTTTGACAGGAAACGTGGTTTTATTGTGAGAAATTGCAAAATATATGATTTATAAAAAGATTTAATAGCGAAAATGTAAAAAAACGTCGATTGTTGTGAAAGTATTAGCAAATTTCAGTGCATCTAAAGTTTCTAAAGCGTTGTTTACTTTTACTTGAGAATTGTCAAAATCGGCTAATCCCAAGTAGCGGTTTCTGGAACGTGCCGCATTTGTTCGCTACATCGTGATGTGATAAAACGAAAACCTGGCAACACTCCGCAAGGTTACAGAAATCTTTCAAAATGTGTTCGAAAAATATCTAGATATGGAAGGAGCTGCTTGCCAAAGAAAAAAAATGTCAAAACTCATTGCAATTTTTAGCAACTTCAATCATGCACTTTATTACATTAATTTTTTTTTGTTTAGATTCTAATTAAAATGTTTGCAATTTGAGTGAAACCTTGCAGAATTTTTTTAATTTTTGTACAAAGTTTGATCCAAAACCGGAGGTCTACCACATTTTTTTGAAATCTACCACATTTTTTTCCAGATTCTACCACACTATTTTTTTTAAGCCCGATCATTGGCTAGATGGAGTATTTTCACCACTGTTCGGCGTCGCGGGGGGAACTTGCGACTGGGCAGCGCACCAGGGGCCCACGAAGTAACTCATCCAATCACGCGTGTTGCGGAGTCCGGAGCGTGGCACCAGCCAAGGTAGTAGTTGCACTAGGCTGATGTCACGTTACGGTATATTCCGGACTGACAAACCGAGCAGATTGTCGGAGGGAGTAGAAGTTGCCGGCGGCGGTGTGTGCGTGCTGTAGTGTTCGTTGGTGTGTCTATTGTTGTGTTATGTTGGGTTGTGGGTGTGTTGGTGTTGTCCGGCTCGGGCGGTTTGCCGTGGAGGAGGTCCGATTCGCACAATATCAGCCACGAACGACGTGGTCCATTGCCAGTGCGTACGTAGGCCCGAGAATGTGCGGAGATGACTTCGCCCGTCACAGACGTTGCACCTGACCGAGGTGGAGTTTACATTCTGTCGTATCTGGCATTCGCAGCAGGGGTTGGCTCTAAGCCAGCCCTGAGCAGAAGGATACAGAGCAGAGGTAGGCCCATTGTCGAACAACGTTTGATGGATATCGCTGACCTAAACGGGGTTAGATCGCCGAAAAAACAGCCCTTGGTCGGGTAAAACCCCAGTCATTCCGGTATGTATAACCGGCTGTCGTGGGAATGACGCTTTGCACGATGCTCTTTGCTCGCCGCTCCACTATGTTCTGACCCTAAGACATTTAAGGTATTATTTCCTCTGAAATAAGTCTATGTATGTATATTGTATTTCTATAGCATAACGATATTCACCCATTTTGTAATTACCACCAACTACACTATACAGATTCAAGAACAAACACTATCGAAGCGAATCATTGTCGCCGCCAGGGATTGGAGAAAAAAAAGTTTTTCAAATTTATTTCGTTGTTTGATTAACCGTGCTATGAAATGCCAGATCATTGGGGAAATTCCAAGGACTTCTTTACTGACATAACACTTTCGTTAGGTTATTTAGTATGCCCTTGGAAGTATGCCTTCCGACTACTACAAAATCATAATATTAGCAGATAATCCGGGAACGTGAATTGTTGGTGAAAATGTTCGACCAAAATGTTCGCCGAGTCTGCTGGTATTTTATAAATTAACTGTTTAGTAAATAAATGAAAAGTACCCTGTTACTTGAATTTTACCTTTCAAATAGCCCATTGACCATTGGAAACAAAACTAAGGAGTCTAATAAGCTGAAAACATACATACCTTACAATCCTTCGTGCTAGTTAGCCATATGCGAATGGCATGGTCATTCGAACAAGATGCAAAAATGGCACCATCGAAGTGCACACGAATCATGCGCACCCATTCTCTATGTCCAGTGTATGTTTTCACACAGTACCTAAGAAATAAGTAAGGTAAGAAAAATAGGTACATACATCTGTGTTGACAGAGTTTAGATTAACATTTCTTACCCGGTAGCCACTTCCCACATTTTGATGGTTTTATCCCGAGACGCTGAAATCACATAATCTCCAGCGGGAACAAACGCTACAGACGAAACATTATGATCATGGCCATGCATTGTTTTAATGCATTCGTAACTTTGTTGAAAGTCCCACAATTTTATAGACAAGTCAGCACTGCAAGACACTAAAAGTAAAAAACCGGGTAAGAAAACTTCAACAGATAATAATCACCAATACTAACCTAAGAGTTTGCCTTGAGCATCAAAAGCGACATCCTGCACAGAGTCTGTGTGACCTTTTAAACTTCTTTCGTATTCCCCAGTTTCGAAGTCCCAAATTTTAATGGTAGCGTCTTCGGATGATGAAACCATTAAACCGAAAATTGGATGAAAAATTACCTGTATTCAAAAGGAAAAAAAATTAAAAAATTTATATGTTTAAACATTTCTTTATTCCTCAAATAATTATGAGTAGTTATAACAATGCATTTTATNTTAAAAAATTTATATGTTTAAACGATTTGCTAATTTCTTTATTCCTCAAATAATTATGAGTAGTTATAACAATGCATTTTATTAATCTTTGAACTAAACAAGACAAAGTATTATTTGGCGTTCACATCTTTTTAATGAGTCGATTATCGATAGCAGTCGAACTTCAGTTGCGTTGCTAGTTGCCAAAATGATATTACAGATGGCAACTGGCAACTTTCAACTGACAACTGCAGTTGCTACAAAGTATGTATACAGGCGACTACAGTTTAGTGGTTGCTGGAAATTTTTTTGGAGCGTATTTAGGAACGAAAATTGAAAAGTGTGTCATATATTTCACTTTTTAATAATTTGAACGATTTTAACATTTTGCAATGCAGTTTGCTTTTACAAAATATAGAAAAAATAACAAACCAATAACGTGAAATTTTAGTTCCCATGGTGTACGCCCTTTTGGCGAAACAAAAGCGAACACTGATTGCAAATTTTTTCCTGAAGAACCTCTTTTAAATCTACCGACACACCCAGTTTTCCAAATTAAAGTCTTCGCTGTGGTACTTCCTTCTGCGTAAAATCGAAGAGGTGCGCAAGCTGTTATGAGCTCAGGTATTGAAGTTGAACGAAGTGGTTCATTTGTTTACTAACCAATTATACTACAGCTTCTTTTGGAAGTCCTCAATATGCTTTGAAAATTAACACAAAACGATACTAAAAGAAAAACCTTGAAAGCATTAACTTTTGCTTACAGTGCACGCGGTAGCTCTAGAGGATTGGAATTATCCTTTAAATGTCGCCTGATTGAGGCTGCGTTCACGCACTTATCTTCCTCTTAAACAAATAATTGTGATGAATTCAGCTTTATTGCTGTCTTTTCTTTAAATCTCTTTATTTTAATCATTTAATTTTACTCTCACAGCTCGTTTACAGCCGCTAGCTAGCTGTTGTCGAACTATCAAATTTCGATTATCGATAACTCTACAGCAACTGACGATAGTTGCCATTCGTAATACATATTTTCTTTCCAGTTGCGTTGCGAGCTGGAAACTGAATCGTGGTTGCGTTGCAATCCGTAATCGATCCATAAGTGTTCCAGCGAGATTCTCGAGGTGTGTGTCTTGATGTTGTTGCCGAATGGCAAATGGTTTTTATTAACTTGTTTGTTGGCTGGTGCTCGAGCCAGGATCCTATCGGGTGGTAGTGTACAAAATCAAAATCGTGTAAACTATTAAGAAAGAGGTGAAATACAATGTAAAAAATTCTGAAAGGGTGCACTCAAACTGCAGTCTCATCTGGTTTTATTAGGGCAATCTTGAATTAAGTTCAAATTTTGACTGTATCACTGCAAAAAATAAGGATATAAATCCGTTTAGAGTTGTCTTCTATCTTTCTGGCATGCTTAAAAAGTTGTATCAACTCTTAAGAAGAGAAAGTGTTTTTGACTATTCAAGTTATTGATTTCAGCATCTTGGTTTAAAAGAGCAGTTTCTTCAGAACTATTAATCGAGTGTAAGTCAAAAAGGGAATGGTGCAGAGCAGATTTCCGTGACTTCTAAAGATGCTTGGACCGCCAACAATAGTAAATGGTCTTTATTAACATCACCAAATCAATTAAGAGCTGCATAACACAGCGAAAGCCTGACCCGTAGGACTGGACTCCATGTTGATTCGGCATTAGCACAGTGAATAATGCGCAGGGTGTTTTCCTTCTGAAATAATATTTGTCCGCTAGTCAAATCTAAGTTCCTCGAACTTCCATTTCGGGAGGAATTTTGTTCAGCCTTTATATGAAAGAGAAAATAAGCAACACCCTCTACAAAAAATTCTATAAAGTAACGGTAATTTTTATCTAATCGAAACTTGCACTTTATTGTATAGAGTGATGGGAGGTTCCATGGGAAACTGAACCTCAGTGCAAAAATTATTTTCTTTAAAAAACTAACAAACGTGTGGATAAGGCATTTGTAAAAATCTTGAATCAACCAAAAATAACAAACTAAAGCTTTAAATGCATTCTTAACCGACTTCACACAAAGGAGAAAGGTTATCAATCAATTCGTCGGAATATATATATAAAATTTTTTTTTATGTATGTTACCGCATAACGTTAGACTACGCTAACCGATTTCTATAATTCTTTTTTTTTTTTAAGGAATAATATGGGGTAAATATTAATATGGTTTAAGTCCTATCATCGGATCATGAAGAAATTAACGATAATCTTAAATTTTTATATGAGAATCGAAGTCGATTTTGTTTTTTGCTTAAAAATTACTTGTTATTACCTTTTTTACGTTTTGATATCGAGTTCTAAGTAAATTTTTTGAGTGAGTTTAAAGTAGGTTGTGTTGAAAGTATTGCCAAATAATTTGCGATTCATTATTCAAGGGTTGGGTAAGAAAAATATATAGTAGAACTCATCTACTTTTTATAAAATTGTTATATATATTAAGTTGTGTGAGTGCTTTATCTATCCGCCTTATTCTAGAACACGAATTTTCGTAATTACGAAAAAACGAAAAATCGGTATGCTTCAACCCTTGCGAAAATCTGTGCAACATTGCCAGCTATCAGTTGTTTTTGGAAGACAGCTGTATGAAGGAAAACAAAGTGGAAAGGAATTTTAAAAAAACCCTCTTCTAGTGCTTATTTATAGTAAAATTGTTTGGTTTAGCTATTTTGAAGAAAACGATGAATTCTGTTGAATTTGCAATTATAGCAGCGGAGTAAGAGCGCACTATGGGAATGATTTCACAAAGATATGCGGAGCTGTCGTGCATAGTAACCATGGGCACATCTATGTGAGCCAACACAAGCCAGAACTCCTCCTCTGCCTGAAGAACTCGTTCTTAATCCAGTTAATGCAATAACAGCTTCTTCCAAGCCATTGAAAACATGCACTTTGTTAGGTCCACCACCTGTTGCGCTTGCTTCTGCCTTCGGCCACGATTAGGGATTATAACCCTTACTAAGGAGAATTCTCCTTTCTGTGTTGCCGGAGAAGAGGGGTTTCCGCATGCCGAAAGTATACAACATTTCTTGTGCATATAATTCCGGCTCGCCATCCACAGTATTTTTGCACAGAACCCATATCGAAATTTACAAAAAAGTGCATAGTGCAAACCGAATTTATTAATAACCGAGTGGTCGGAAGTTTGAAACATGAAATTTAAATAAAAGTTTAATCCATTGATTGCACGTGCATGTTAAAGTTTTTGTATTCGGGTTATGCGTTTGGACACAACAACCGAAAATCATTGTACAAATAACTAAACCGGACCCAAGCTTCTCGATAAGGGGCAACAAAGATTCTTTTTTGTTCCGTTATTCAAAGCCGTGGATAAAAATATACGTATATGCGAAAGGCAAATTTATCTTTTTAAATGAACACCACAACACACATCGATTTACCCCTTTTATCTCGCCTCCGACACAGAATTGTTTTCGTACAAAATTACGCAAAAAAGCTGTCAATTTCTTACTCGTTCGTTTTTATGCATGCCATTGTTACGAAATTCGAAAGTTCAAGACACGATTCGGATTGCAGCATACTATTTCTGCGATTCGAAGCAAAATCAGAATACGAAATAGTTGTAGAATAGGGGTGTATATTATGAGTTACTCAGCCTCATTGCATAAGTCGTAAATTAGGCTAAATTGTACGACTCGACAACATTGGCATTGTCTACTGTCGTGCCGAAATAAGTAAACGACGAAAATCGTCGAAACCTATACAGTGCTGCCAAGTATTTGCGTTTTAATAAACTAGTCGAGTGGAAATTTTAGGCAATGACGTGAAATTTTCGATACTATTCGACTCTCGAAAAATGACTTGCATTTGACACGACTCTCGCAATGAGTGTGATTATTAAACAGTATTGGTCTTGTCCCACCAGTGACAAAAAAAGCTAAAAGTTTTTATATATAACTACAGAAGTTGAAGTTGTGTTTCATGTTTGTTACATGATGTTAGAAATTCATTGCAAATGTTTACCACAATTGCATGTTCATTTCCACATAGTTAGATAAAAATAATTCAACAGTGAAGCATGTCCCATCAGTGACAGCTACGGGTGGGACAGTTGTCAGAGGTAGATTTACAGGGCTGATAAGCTTTATTTGTTTGTTGAGGTGGACGCAGGAATATACCCTTGTGGTCATTTGATTAAGTTAAGTGACATTTTCACCATTTTTTGGTTTTTTCTTTGGTTTATTTAAAATAAAATAAATGTCTAGCACATTACATAACTAGAACCACATAAATTCAATTTCAAACTTCGTGCAAAATTTATAAAAATTCAACAAACAATTACAATTACAAACAATTACAGCCAACAATTTTAAACTTTTTGTTCAGAATTTTTAGAAAAATTCTAGGTATTTGTAGGTTATTAAATTAAGTACGTGAAAGTGAAAATTTCAAGACGCTAGGAAATTGCGTTGATTTTTAATAATTTTTTTGTTGACGATGCTAGGCATTTTCTTCTATATAAAAGGCGCTATCCTAAGATAAAACGTGAATGAATTGAACCCCCACTTGCCCTACCCGTGACAGAGAAATTTCGGATCCTTTTATTAATAAAGCCATCATTTTTTTGTACTTTTTGGTTTGTTTGTACTCGTGGTTTTTGTTTTATTACAGGGGTGAGCAAGGCCGAGGCCGAAAAGAGCCACATGTAAAATCTAAATGATACAAAGGGCCATAAAAACAAAATTTTTTTTTAAATAAAATTATTATTAGAAATAAAAGAACATTAATTTTATTATTATTCTAATGTACGTAAGATAGATACGAAAGAAAATTCAAATGATCCCTTTGGCCAAATTTTCAAAATCTGGTTTTACGTCAGTAATGTCCCTCCCGTGTATCAAAACACTTTTATCCCCTATTTTTGAAAACTTGTAAAACT